AAGTTCGCTCATCTAATAGTTTTTTAAGGAAAACAAATTATTTATGGCATTACTTTACTGATATTTAACGTGTAAACCGTCTACGGACCTATACGAAGTTATATTGCTACAGTACGCGTATGTCGCTCTTTACTTACCTCTTAACATGTACCTTGAAGTTACTTTTTATATTCCACGACACTTGTGGTGGGCGTATATAATACGCAGAAGCGCTTAAGATGTACCCACCCACCTTTTATTATACCAATCGATTCAGAATCATAATCTTAATTGAGCTAAGCCCGTCTGTCCGTCTGATGTCTGTCCATGTACATTTCTGTTCAACCTACAGGTCGCAATTTTTGAGATATTTTGATGAAATCTCGTACAGTGACCTGTTTTGAGTCAAGGACGAACGCTATTGAAAATGGTTTGGATCGGTTCACTTTTTCAATCACTCTCCCTATAACGCCTTGTTCTAAAAATTCGTTATATGGTAAAAATTGTAATTTTCAAAATTTCTTCGCAAAAGTAGCTAAGTAGTAGTATTTCGCCATTTTAAAGTGGTATGAAAACTTTGGACGGACCGGAGAAAATTTTTGAACCCCCTCTTATATAACACAAAAACTGTAGTTTGTACGACAAAAAGGTATAATTTTAAATAAATACTTCACGATGAAAATTATATAATACTAGTACTTGAACATAAAAAAATTAACTGTAATAAATTTTGACCATCACAGTATATGTTTGGGATCCCATCCTAATAACAATATCCATGAAAATTGATCCTATGTAGAGCAGAAAAGACAACGTTTTAAAATGTGGTTATCGAAATTGACCCATAGTATTATAGTAATTTCATACAAAAATGAACTCTACGAAATTTAGACCATCTACGCCTATTTTTGGATCCTGACTTATCTGAGGATTAAATTGGCCGCTTTCCCATAAATACGCACATGAAAAATATGTCTTTACATAAAAACAATATATAATTTTGTGTTCTACAATAAAAATAATGATTATGTACGGTATATAAAGGTCGACATTGCCCGTCTACCATGTTCTTACTCGTTTTTTTTATTCTACAAGCAATCTTTTCTCCCAGAACATCTATTGGAAATAAACTAATGTTGTGTTCAATCCACAGGTCGAAATATGTAGAATATGCACGCAAACGCTTACACGCTAAATTTTATATTGGTGCCGAGGTGAATCCTATTGAAAATGGATTGGATTGGATCAGTTTTAAAAAATTCGTTATAGGAAAAGAATTTACGATTGTTTATATTTCTCGATCAATGGCAACGAGGAGCCGTATTTGCTTTATGCATAATGAATACGTAAGATACTTACGCTGCTTACTTTGCTTTTCAATTTTGCAAAAATTTTCTTAAGGCCGGGCATGACATATGAGCTCAATTCGCACGCAGTCGTAAACAATTACGTGCTATTTATTTAATGTAAGCCCAACGCGCTATTACTACGTAATTAGATTATTTTTTGTATTTTAATTGTCTTATCATTGAATTTTTTTTTTCTTTTCAAATGAAATTTGAAAACTTTAATTATACAAATAAACAGTTTTGTTATTGTTATTGTTTAATTCGAAACGCATCCGTTACATGCATTGAATAATTCTAATGAGTTTCTTTAAAATGTGATAAGAAACATTTCATTATTTCGCTATAATTTAAAAACCGACAAACAGGGCGAACTTTTGTCAGTAGCTAAAATCAATAAAGCTGAATTATAGACGTTGTTTGTTGTTGTTAGTTGCATGACGATTTTTGTACGATCATTTCAAAAATAATTGACTTGGAGAATTAATTTCGACCATTCAAATCAGGCTTTGCCGTACAAAAGTTGAAAGGCTATTTAATCCAACTTTTTAAAGAAAATGTAGAATCGTTCTCAATATCTAAAAATTTATCCATAGTTCAGTGTATACTTCAGCTTACCGATTCCCTTGCAGATCATAAAGCCAAAATTAATTTTTATTAATATCTACGCAACGTGCCATTGTGTAGAGAGAATGGCTATTAATTTTAATGCCATGTATTTTTTTCTTTGACTCAAGCGGACTGTAGTACTTACTTAAATTTTTGCTAGCAGCAGCAGTTGAAAACGAACTCACAAACCGCTAATACCAAAAGTTGTTGAATACAAATTAATTGGCAAATAGTTTAGCTTATCGCTGTACAAATTCAAAAACTATTTATATTTTGCAAATCATTTCGATAGAATTTCGTTCGCAAATTTATTGTAATATGTTATATATTTATTTCGGATCTAAGATTCCTTGAACGTTATATTCGCGTGTGGTTGACGTAACGATTTAGGCTGTGTTTTTTTGGTATTCGAGATCGGGAAATGAAATTTTGCAATTTACTTTCTTTAATTGTATATGGACGAGTCAGTCAGTTTTGAGAATGAACATCCTCCTAATAGCTAAGATGGTAATATATTTTTATCAATAATCTACCAAACAATAATAAATGCTGATTTAATTTTCGATAGAGGAGCTTAGAAGAAGGTTCACGATAAGCAAAGAACAGGTGAGTGTAGGGGTTATTAAGAAATCGCTGCAAGCTAAAGAGAATTTTCGCACAATTGAAATAATAACGGTAAATAAATAAATCAATTTTACGAAATCTGTCAACCCTTTCGTACCTCTCTATATGTTTTAAATGTGATTGAAATTAAATGATAAAAGATAAGCTGTTGACCAATCTCTCTCTCTCTCTCTCTCTCTCTCTCTGATAATGACTAGTCACTAATCCAACAAAATAGCGGTTTTCCTTTTGTTTCTTTTTTTATACAAATATTAACATGAAACTATTGAGCGGCTCATGTAACGTTTCGTTTTGAGAGAAAGTCATTAAAACGAAAGCATATGTACAGCACAGCGTGATGATCGTTTGCTTATTACGACGTCATTACGGAATCGCCGATTGAATGCAGTTCAACTAGGGTAGCAGCTCCAGAAAGTAGGAGGAGTGGAAGTCATTCGGTAGACTGACCAACCAAAGGACGCATAGATCAAAAACATGGCTGCAATTGGCCCCAGCCCATCGACAAGCACGCCTCCTATTCACTCGAGGATATGTAAATTGGACTATGAATCAATGGAAAGTATTACTGTTCTCTTACGAGTACAAGATATGTCTTCATGGTAACGACCGACGGGGAAGAGTCTATCGAAGACGCGGTGAGCGCTTCGCACCGTGCTGTATCTCTGAACGTGTCGCATATGGCAATGGCACATTCATGTTTTGGAGAGGCATATCAATGAAAGCGAATACCGAATTTGTGTTCATCGATCGTCCATTCCAACGCTACATTGAAAAGATCCCGGAAGAACATGGAGCGCCTTTTTCGAGATTTATCGGCGAAAATTGTATTTTCATGCATGAAAAAGCGTATTACGGTACTTGGCGTGCGTCGTGCGTCGTGCGTCGGTACTTGGAGAAGAATGATGTGCCGGTTAAGACGTGAACTGCTCGAAGCCCAGATCCCAATCTCATTGGGCATTTATAAGATGTGCTGAAAAAACGAATAGGAGCCGGAGGAAATACGGCGTCTACGAGTCTCGAAGAGCTTCAAATCGCAATTACAAAAGAATGGGAAAAAGTACCGTAAAATTTTGTAAAAAAATCTATTTATGCCATAAAAATTAAAGGGAATTTGTTATTCAGGCTAGAATTCAGTATTATCGCATTAATATATGTTTTTGTTGTGGAAGCGAGCGATTTTGGGTTTTTCTATTGTTTTATTGCTATCGTAATAATTTTGGAGGTTAGCGGTAAGCATATTGTACGTTTTTCAAAAACTAACAGTGTGTACTTTAGTTTCATTTAAGTTATGTTTGCAAATTTAATTTAATAAATGTTTAAATTTTAAGTCAAAATGTAGGGGGTGTGTGCGATTTTTTTACTCTACTCTCTAGTGTAGTTTACTCTAATTTTTTTTTATGGTCAAACATAAGCATTTAGAAAAACTTCTAATCCATTTATTAGCCACGTTGGATTACGGTTCTTCTTTTCATCGTTTAACCTCCAAACTTGCGACTTTTGCAATTTCAAATATTTGTCATTAAGATAAAAATATTGAACGTATTTTGAGAAAACTCCAGCCAGCAGCATATACGTAGTTATCAATACGTGTTTCTGACAAACACCGAATCCGAAAAAGTGAAAATAATATCGATGCTGTACGCATCATTTTTATGAACTCGACATCTTAGCAGTCAGTTGATGAAGTTTCCAAAAATTTTGAAAGAGTTAATGGTCTTTGTTAGGCAATTGGAGCAATACAACTAAACGTGAAATTTGATAAAAATCGTCACACATCTATTATTGCGAAATTGCGCAGACCGATGGTGAAAGAATGTCGTCGTTGGCAACCTTTCTTCTACCTTTTATTTATTTCAATAGTGCAAATTCCAAAGCGATATATCACATATATTTGGGTAAATGATGAAAGCAATTTTTGCGCTGATTTTAAATAAAGGAAACACTTGAACAATTTTTAATTACCTAAATAATAATAATTGATAAATAATTAAAAGAAAGAGTACATTTTCCATGATATGCAGGCTGGTGCATATGCTGCCGTGTCGATAATCCACCTCGCATATAAATCGATGTACGAATTTTTATTTAACGAATTAAATATCAGAAATCCGCTAATTAGATACGTTTGAATTAAAATTAATATTGTGCATCAGTTTCTAAACATTAACGATACCAGATTGCGAAATTTTGGGATACAAAAAATTAATGCAATGTCTACGGCATATCCCTGTCGAAAAATTTTTAGGCGCCGTAGAAACAAATTTTAGATATCATACGGAGAATCAGTCCGTAGGTAGATAGTAACTGAAAAGAGATGCATTTAATCTAAGGAATATTGTAATATTGTGCAAAAACAAATTAACCCTATAAACAATTATAAGCAAATTGAAACATTTGCATGAAAAGTATATTCAATCGTTCTTTTTTACAATACTTTTGCAGGTAGTATGACGTCCGATTTTTTTCGCGTGGTCAATGAAGCACGTCGTCATTCTCTAGGACCGTTTAGTCCATCGTTTAACATACAGACTTGTCTATTTGAAGGTTTACAAAAGCATTTACCTGAAGATGCTAATAAACGCGTCAGTGGACGTTTACACATTTCAATGACACGTGTATATGATGGAAAAAACGTGATTGTTTCGGAATTTAATTCACGCGATGAACTACTGCAAGCATTACTTTGCGCATGTTTTATACCCGGTTTCTCTGGCATATTGCCCCCCCGTTTCAGAGGTGTTCGTTATATGGACGGTGCTTTTTCTGATAATTTACCCATTTTGGATGAGAATACAATAACCGTATCACCGTTTTGTGGTGAAAGCGACATTTGCCCGCGGGATCAAAGTTCTCAGCTATTCCATTTAAATTGGGCCAACACAAGCATTGAAATATCTCGTCAGAATATTAATCGTTTCGTTCGTATACTGTTCCCACCCAGACCGGAATTTCTTTCGAAGTTTTGCCAACAAGGATTCGATGATGCCTTGCAATTTTTGCATCGTAACAATTTAATCAATTGTCGACGCTGTGTAGCTGTACAATCTACTTTTGTTGTATCGGAGACGGTAGCTCAACCTCAAGACTTTGACCCCGAATGCAGAGAATGCAAGAAGCATAGAAAAGTATGGATACACAAAAAAGAGCACATTTTCACATTTCCTTCTAAAAAACGATAAAAATAATTTGTATTATTTTTTATGTTTACTCACTAGGATGCTTTGTCTTCCAATATGCCACAGACTGTTTTAGATGTTATACAAGACTATATAGAGCAGGCTAATAAGGGCTTGGCCAATTGGTTATTCAAACATCGTGGTATTAAATTATTATCACTGCCGGCCACTGTACCCATGGATTTTTTAATGGCCACTGTAAATAAGTAAGTAATTGTCGGTTTTATAATGAAATATTACTAATGTGCATCGAAACAAAAATTTATTTTAGAACGGCTAAGCAGCTACCAAAACCGTTTAGAAAAACATTTGCATCAGCTTAACAAACACAAAATAGTTTTCTTCTCTTAATTTAGCCCCTTCTAATCTCTCTGATAAACCCGGCTAATTCCTATTAAAAAGCGTGTTAAAAAATTTTAATTTATCGAATTTTTATAGTATTATTATTGTAATATAAACTGTAAATATCACACTATAAAAGAAATATATTAATAAAAATAAAATATATATGTGTATATATATTTATATATATAATAAATTTTGGAACATTCTTGCCGGTGCTGTCATCCGGACCAACGATACTTGTACGGACCTTACTCATAACGTCTTCCTGCAACCAAAAATAAACTGCACTGGATGTCTTTCTACCCGGCACTTTGTGTTGCGTGGTTAGACCTAAAGCTGCTTGTCATCACTATCTTTTCAGGCTAAGATTTATACTTCCCGTTGCTAGAGATATAGGCCTTTCGTTTGTAGAGGGAAGGGGAAAATTTTTTTTTTATAAATTCGTTCCTTCTCTTAAGTTGCAAATGTTTTTCATTATTTAAATTAGTTCCTGTTTATTCAAAAAAAAAAAAAACAAAAAAAACAAAAAAAAAAAACCAAAAAAAAAACAAACCCTCCTCCTTTCCCTCTTGCAGAGTTACAACCGTGACCCCGAGACTTACAAAGCAAATGCGACGTTTAGTGGAAGAGCTTATAAATCAATTCAATAACCGTGTACAAGTGCATTTATTTAATAAATTTACGGTCAGTAAAGCGATTTCTCTCCGAGTTCCCGAATAAGTTTCTTCTTAATTTTAACAATACATCTATTTTTATAGATCTGTGATCCTCCTCATTTCGATACAACCGGTTTATTACATTCGAATCGCTTATATGGACCTCGTGTATCTATCCTAGTTGATGAATGGTAAATAGAATACAAAAAAGGACTTTAATTTAAAAAATGCGTTAATTAACTTATTTTATGTAGCGGCGCACCACCCTTGGAAGATGATGTTGATCATTATGAGCACGTTCTGAAAGTTACTACTCACAACGATGCTTTATATGCCTATTATTACACCGACGATCATACCAACAAAGTAAAAGTTACTGAAATCTTTGATATGACCGAGAATATCGAATTGGCGACTGACCTGAAGCAATACGAAGGTTCGATTGAAGATCATCCCAATCCTCATCAACATCATCACAATGCTGTCCTTAGTGAATGGAATGGTATTGAATCAGGTTAGTGAAGTAGCTTTTCTTTTTTTTTTTCTTTTGTTTTTGTAATTTTTTATTTGTATTCTCTCATTACTATCACTTAAATTCATTCATTTGCAGTACACATTATACCTACACCGTCTGCATTACGCGAAGATATTTTTTAAATCCTAATTTTTGACTACCTTTTATGCGTTCCTTATATTTGTTTTCCTAAAGTTTTCTTCCTCTATACATAAACTGGAATTTTTTCTTAAAACAAAAAGAAAATATTTTATGGAGGTAAATTTTAAACATAATATATGTACATGTAAATTTGTTGGGAGCGGTGACTTTTCTATTCTTTAGTATATTTAAACTTTCTTATCCGCCTGAGTGGCCGAGTAGGCAAGAGTCTCGACTAGCAACTCAATGGTCGTGGGTTCGAATCTCAAGTGCGGTAGAGTTTTTAATAAAGCCGAAAGCCTTAGATGTTAGTGCTTTAAGACTTTAGTCTTAGAATTTATTCTCTGGCTAAATTTCTAATAATAATAATAATAATAATAATAATAATAATAATAAACTTTCTTATAATAGGTGATCAAAAAAGTGATTGCATATTTTTAATATTAACTTATGGCATAAATTCGGCTAATTATCCATTTTTTCCTTAATTTACGTTATTGTACAGAAGAATTGAATATTCGCTTAATAATTTCAAGAGGAGAAATGAAAACTCCGTAAAGATTCTATTTTCCCCATAAAACGATGTCAGGATTAAGTTTGATAAGCAAACGTCTATTATATAGAAAATATACATTAACTAATTAACTCATATCTGTGCATAAATTTTATTTAAATATTGCAGCATGCTCGAAACGAAAATTTTCAAAGCACATTAAAAAGAGCGATACGGACAATTTCGAACCAGTCGCATAAGATTATTTGTAATAATTAGATTGCAAGTAGCATTGATTTTATACGTCCTTTATGCGGATGTGTTAAACATCCAGGAGAAGGATTTGAGATAAACCCACTTTTTATTATAGCGATAGATTTAGAATCACATTCCCGTTTGAGTTTAGCGTATCTGTCCGTCTTGTTTTTTGTATTTTACCCACAGGCTATAATTTCTAAGACATTTTGATGAAATTTTATATACTGACTTGGTTCGACCTAAGGACGAATGCAATTGAAAATGATTTGGACCTGTTCACTTTTCCCACTACTTCCCTTATGACATCTTCGTTTGATAAGCCGTTATATGAATAACTATATTAAGCGTAGTGTTATACGATGGACTTTGTTCCATTTTCTTTTAATTAAATACAATATAAGCTTTTAATTCCTATAATTCTAAAAATTTCATCAAAATTGCACATGGATATTTGTAGAAATTATTTGATAGAACATCAACCATTTTACAAAAACGTATCTATACATCCATATGGAAAATAGGATTTTCCTAATGTAAATACATATATATATATTGTCAGTGTTCTTCCCACACTTGTAAACTTGTTGTAATGCTATATTCCTATTCTCTTGTTCTTCTTTTTCTGAGATTTTTTCATTTATTATATTATAATTCTATTACTTAAATGTTTTATTCAATTTATTGCAGACTTTTTTATTGACCGCCAAACGGCAACATCCACAGCACATTCCTTAACGGACAGTAAAATTTCTCACACCGTTTCGACTGTTTATACAACTTATAAAATTGAACCTGATTCCAGAACGACCCCATCCTCGGAAGAAGATAATTGTCCATTTAGTGATTCGGAAGCCGATCACTACTATAACGAGAGCGACAGAAACGAAATACCGAGACATCATCATTATAAACGCGATCTAACCTTAGTGTCAACACAACAAGATTCCATTATTGTGCCAAACGAGTTATGCATTGATATTGAGTAAAAAAAATTGGTAGTAATATTTAGTATATAAATATATATAAAAATGAACTGAATAACCAAAGTTAACTTAACAAAAGAGAAGCGTAGTTCTGCATAACGATTTAATCAAAGTAAAATGTATTTTATTTTTAGAGATGTATATTATGTAAAAACATGCGTACTTTATTGTGTTTACATATAAGGGAAATATTTTAAAAATTACAACAAAAATAAAGATGAACCAAAACAATTAAAGCGGCTTAATGCGTTTTACAATATATTGACAAAATCACTAAAAAGTTGAAAATGAATGTTGTTAGCTCTTCCACTTATTGCCGTTATTACAATGAAAAATATTAAATTTGCGAAATGCTTACGTCTAACTTTACTGTATGCCGGTATGGCAATGCCACATCTTTTCTTCTATAGTTTCTAACAATTTAGTGAATTCGTATCGTGATGTGAACTTCTCCTTATTAACATATAACAAAGAATTAAGTCGGTCGTTTAGCAGCGCAAATAATCCAAGTGGTGTTACGTTGAATTTCTACATTATAAGAGGTTTAAGAAAGTAAAAAGAAACAACACCTGATTAACACAAAAGTGGGTTTCCGATTTCGGTGACTTTCGAGGCTTGCGTTTGGCTATGCTTCCACTACCGCGATGCCTCAGAACGTATACAGCGTTTATGGACGATGAAAATAAACTATAGGATGAGAATATTATGCCAACACTTTAATCTGTTAATCGGAAAAATTTCACTAATTTATCCCCCTATTTCTATCACACCATGCCAACCATAAATTTTAAATCATATCACTTGCACCTTCTAACAATACGATTTGGTTTAGAGCCCAAAAAACGTGAGCAGTTTTTGTAAAATGCTATAGATGATTTAGCAAAATTTTACTAATGCGAATACTTCTTAAATTTTTATTAATACCGAAGTTTTTGTTGGGACAAAGAGTATACGACATTTACGTAGCGAACTAATATTTCAGTAAATTAATTTTATGACATTGCATTGCGATACGAGAATACTAACTTAGCTTTTAAAAATGTTGACAACCAAATTATCAAACATAAGCAGATCAACGCAAAGAAATCATCTGTCGCAAGTTTAGTAATCTTTTCATTTTATTTCAACAAGAAGTATTTTTTAAATTATTAGAAAAATGTTTCGGATTCCTCCTCCAATTGATCCTGCTGAGGAAAAAAAACGTGTGCAAGCTGACATACGTAAGAATTTTATAATGTTTACCGTTCTGTGTGTGGCCATACGTTTGGGTAAGTGTTTTAAAAGTAATCACTATAGAGAAGCAACAGAAATTAACAGCATATGACAATTGCAGCCCCTATATTTTTGGAAAGGGCAAGTGCCTAGCAAATCAGGACATATCGCCCAACGTATATGACACACCTCATCGAGAAACTGTACCTTTGCGAATCACGTGTTAAATAATGTCTGCGTGCTAATGAATGTGATCGAGCAAATGTTTTGGAGCAATCATTTTTGACCATAAATTACCATGTAAATGTAAATCGTTATCGTAACGAAGTAATAAATATGAGTTGTTAAAATCTGTAGAACGATACACCTCTGCGTAATTAAATGTGCCTAAGTAGGATCTTAAAAATCCCATTCCTATGCACGTTTTTGATTTCTTAGGTAACTGGCAACACTAATCTATACGTATATTTTGGCTTCGATAACTTTCTAGAAAATATGACTACTTTTTGTTGTGACTAATGAGAAGAGAACTAAAGCAAAAGATTGTAAGAGAAATTTTGGATTCGGCACAGTTGAAAAAGAAAACCGCACGAGATAACAGCTCAAAACGAATTTGCGTTTTTGACGAAAGGGTTAAGATACTACTTCATATTTTCACTGACATTAAAAGCAGGCAATTTAAAAATTTAACTAGAAGAAAAGCGAAGCAAAATAAAACGGAAGTTAAGAACCATTAAAAAAGAAACGTGCTAATCAGCTCTCTGTAACGCTGGAGTAAATACGAAACTAGCCTACCACAGCGCAGGAAGTAATTTTGACAAAATTATCTACATAAATTCAAAAAAAATTTTTTTTAAGTTTTCATAATTTTGCCTAACGAAAATCAGCGTCGAGCATTCAAGTGAATTTTCTGGAACAATTTTTTTTCGTGTCAAAATAAATTGAAAAACTGACGTGTTTTTCGTTTAGAAGAAAATATATGATTGTTTGCGTGTGCGTGTAGTGTCAAACGGCATTACTTACAAACCTATCCCTTGTGCAATTATTCTCTCACAGGTAGTGCTTTTTTTTCTACTTGCAGAATTTCTGGAAGTTTGCGTGTTCTGTATAAAAGATATACAGCAAACTCTGAATTTGGGACTTCAACAAAAGTTTGATTTTTTCTAAAATAGAAAAGTTGAAATTCAGAACAAAAATTTCACATATAACAACAATAATTAGAACAAATATAAGAAAATGTCTGTGATTGGTATCGATTTTGGTAATGAGTCGTGTTTTGTAGCTGCCGCAAAAGCTGGCGGCATAGAAACTTTGGCTAACGATTACAGTTTAAGAGCAACACCGTAAGTAGAATATTGATATTTCAATTAAATGTACCGCAAATTTATTTAAAATATAAAACATTAATTAAAAATTCGCAGTAAAATTGCATGGCGTAGAAAAAAAGTGAGGTTAGTTTAATATTTGATGTACTTCTTATTGGCAATGAGCAATTAAAAGAGAATTTTGAAATGCTTTCGGTCGGGTGAGAAATAGAAATTAGTGTTGTAAAGAGCATTTGAATAACAATTGCAAATGCATATTTTATCAAAAAATATTGTAAAATTAAGAAAATTTATGACAGATTTTTAAACGATGAAAAGAAAATAGTAACCAATGCTTCTCTACTATTCAGCAAATAGAAATTTCTGGAAATTATTGATTTTTCTTTATTGTCCGCTAGCGATGCGATGAAATAGTATGTTCTCACGTACAAATATTTCTCTTTATTACAGTTCCCAGAACAAAAAATTCACAATCTTTTTTAAATATATGCGTGGATGTAATAAAGAAAGAAAAAAACGAAAGTTTTTCCTTGCAAAAATTCGAATATATATTCCTAAACAAAAAAATTTTAGGTTTTCATCGTGTGTACAAAGGTTTTAGTATTCATATTTTTTATTGGAAGTAAAAGCATTTTACCCTTTTACGTATTTTGGGTGTAAGCCATAAAGAAGGGAGGGAGCTTTTTATACTCATTAGCGGAGCGGGCTTGTATGTAATGTTATCGCTCTATTTGTACCGCATCAGTACGCGTCAGTAAGAACACAAGGTGTTTCTATATACTTTGCTCTACTTTCACAGTTGGGAGCTCCTTTAAAAGTATCTGTTTCTTTTTGTGATCAGACAAGAAAGGAGAATATTAAGCAGAGCAATGATTGTTGATCACATAGGTTTGCGAATTTAATTTGAATCCTTAAAAACACACAAAAAGATCTTTGAGAAATGCTTTCCATTCTAGTCACATGATTATTTAAATTATGATTGACATCTATCACATATTTTTATATAGTTAATGCATAACTCTTTGTATTCAGCAATATCGAAAATGATATGAATTCAAATATAATTCACTAAACATAAATGAAAATTCCAATGGTTAAAAGCGATTCCATTTCCTGTACCAAGCATAGAGGAGTGTATAAAACTTAACCAAAGATAAGATATAACGAATCGCAAACAAACACATTAATATTTAATATCATGTTAAATTCGCTCTTAGAAATATAAAAGTTTGCCGCCTATCGTAACATCTTAGTCTAGAACTCTTGTTTATATACCAGAAAAAGCGGACGATAGATTCCTTCAAAGCTAGCAAGGCTTTGAAACTTGAAAATCTGTTTCTTAGTAACATATATACTATAAATTTTTAAATTATATTGTTATGAATAAGTTTCGGATAAGTGTAGACTATGTCTCTCTCTTATGATTGTATTTCTTTTGCAAGCACTGCTACTGTAGTTTTGCTTTGAAGTTACGTAATAAGATGCTTACGCTTATGCAGCTTATTACGTTACTGATCGATATACTTAAAAAAACCTATTGAAGACTAAAAAATTGATTACTAAAGCTCACTATAATATATTCTTGTTTAAAGTGAGACTAAATTTTGAAATTTTGAGAATCGTTATCTTGTAATTTTTGCTTTTCAAACTAAAAAACAAAATTACATATAAAAATTGAAATCGAATGTTTTTAATTTTTGTTTTACTCAGAACTAAAGCTCCTTGCAGACGCCAATTATATTTATAAAGGCAAAACGCACAACTTGCATAAACACTTTTAGATACAACTATATACGTGTATTTATGTTTGCATACGTTGTGTCTATTTGATTTAGTCATTTCCAGTCCAAATATGCCCAATTTCAGTATTAATCATTTTAAATATGTACATTATATGACTGTGTGCAAGTATCTATCTACGTTGCATTTGATTCTCCAGAGAATCAAACATCATAAGAAACTTACTTATGTAATGAGACATGTTTTCGTGCGTCCTTAGTTTTGCACGTAAAAAGGTGAGGATGAAGTCAAGATTGCAAGCTTGTTAACATGCTACTCTTAAATTACAATTCTTGGGATAAATATTTATTAAAAATGAGACTGGAGTTAGTTCTAGAGCCCTTTTTAATTTGAGGCAGATGTCATTGTTCAGAAATACTTATTTTTATATATATATTTACAATTACACTATTTTAAGCATCTTTTTCTTGATAATTTGCAAGATTTATTTTGTGTGGGTGCATTGTACATAACACTTTGCTCGTGTATGTGTCTAAACAGCAATAATTTTATTCTCTTCGAGAAATGAAAAAACTTTCAATTGGAGTGCGTCAGGTTTTTCTATTGGCTTACGTGGCTCACACGGGAGGTATGCTTTACCTGGCTATTAAGAAATTAATGCTCTTCTGTTAGATCGAATTTTTGAAGCTGTTCCTCATTTACTGAATTTTTGCTAATTTGTATATCTAAGAGTCAGTTTATGGTTCTCCTTATCCACGTAGCTCGATAGTGATTTTCAATTTTTTGTTGATGATTCTCATCATCGAACAGTTGTTCGCTTGTATCAGATTTTTTTTTTTTTTAAACGCGCGAACGAAAAACAACTATCGAGCTTCATGTTTAAAGGGAAAATAAATAAAATACCATATAAAGGCATATGTTTGATGGACTCTGAAATTCCAAAATTTTGGCAAAAATAATAAAAGCAAATAATTAATTTCGATCTGTATTGGTTCCACAAAATATGAGAAAAGGTATAAATGAATGTGGAATTAAAGAAAAAAATATTACATAGTTAACTATTAGAGGTATGGTCCGATCCATTGCTTTTGCTACATGAAAATAAATGGTTTATTTATGATTTTCTTATATTGAAATTAATCTTTTAAATATGTCTGCTTGTTTCAGTTTCTATATTGTTTATTAAACCTCGATTAATAGTTTCGTTCTAATAGATTTTAATATTTTCCTCAATTTCTTTTTCAAATTTTATCTTTCGTTTGTTTATTTATTCACTTTTCTTCTTCTTCTTTGCATTGTTTTGTTATACATACACCGATGCTATCAAAAATATATTTTTTATAAACGCAACGAAGCAGACGCTTAATTCGATACGAAAGCAATTGGGTTCCATCAACTTAAAGAGTGATCGTATTGTTTTTATGTTTTTTTAACCTACAATGGTTCGATAATCAAAAACCCGTGAACCGTCCCCAGACGTGTTTTTCAGCAGAGACTCCATGAAACGCATACCCTGGGTGGGAATCTGTTGCCACGATGGTCTACCGTCCGTCTACGGTAGCAGTAATTGCAATAGGAATTCAAAGTTCGCATATGATCTTAATAAATATTCAACTGTAAGTTTGCAAAGAACATAATACATTCATAATAGGCAGCAAAATGTAAGCTAGAACTCACAGCATAAGCTGACCAAGAAGTTGGCATAACGGGTGGTTATTTATTTGATATACCTTTCACTATCACCGGTATTTCAACGTCTAAGGATATACAAGTTGAATATAAAAGCATATGCATACAGAGACATCTTAATAAAGGCGTATGTTGGGACTATGACGAGGGCAAAAGCCAAGTAAGAAGTGACATCCAATGGAGTTGAAATTGTAAAAGGTAACTTCCCACACAACGATTTTACTTACATATGGCAACAATGTTCAAAATTGATGCGAAAATGCAATATGGATTAATGTTTATAATAATATTAGATAGGTCCAGCGCATCATTGTAGCAAAGAAGGACGCGGAGTAGGTCATCAGCTTCGAAATCAGAAAAAAATGTAAAAATTTATTGCGGTGTAGCTAGGTCGATCACATAGCTTTGTGAAAGTTTGAGACGCGTGGAACAGTTAAAAAACTTCGTCTAGTCGATAGTCGCATTGTAATTTAGCAAAGTGAGATTCTTTCAAGTCATCAATTTCCATTCAAATTGAGAACTTTGTATGATTCCGACTGTTTGTTAGGTGCAAATTTACCTGCAAGAATAGCCCTGAAAGATGAAACAGCATTTGGAGAAGAGGAAAGACGTTGCGGAAGTAATCTTATGATATAGGGCTGCTTTCTTGGGAGATTGTCGGTTTGCTACATCTTAGAAAGCATTATGAATAGATATACATATATAGATGTATATATAATATAGATATATATATAATATAGATATATATATAATATAGATATATATATATAATATAGATATATATATATAATATAGAATATAAACATTTAAGAAACAATAATGTTACCGCATGCTACACAAGTTAAGCCACAGCTATGGAAACTTCAGGAGGATAATGACCTGATACATTCAACTAATTTGGTGAAAGCGTGGTTCCGGGAGCATAACTTGGGTGTCATTGAATGGCCAAGCCTTTCCTCCGATATCAGTTCTGTTGAGAATGTTTGGGGAGGACTAAACCGTCGTGTTTCTTGTAGCAATAAAAAAATTGTGGAAAAATGTTAAAAAAGTATTTTATACTATCCCAGTAGAGAGACTTGCCGTAAATTAATTTCATCCATGCCTAGAAGAGTCGAAGTTGTCCTTAAAACCATTGGTGGTTGTACCGCCTTTTGACTGCCTGAACTGATTTATATAAAAATTTGTACTTTTAAATACAAAGTGTAGCGTTATTTTTACACACCTACATTGCTGTCCACTGGAAACGTGCGATATTTTTGACCTGAACTTCTTTTAAATTTTTGTTAATACTTAAAATAAATCTAACACGATTTTTAAATATGGAAATGTTCCTACTTTATGAATAAATGATAAACATAATATAAGACAGGAGGAAAATGAAAAAAAAACACTCCAGCTGAATAAAACAACATGCATCTCATTTCTGTCTACCAGCGTACATAGTAAGATATTGAACCTTGATGCAATATTTTATCATGTTAATTAATAAATTTCCCAAAGCGTAGTAAGCATAATCTAAGCCGATTTAACGTACCTGGACTACATTTATGTAGCATCGATTTTTACACAAACAACAATTTTTAAATTACTGGTAAGAAACATTTCAGAACAATATGGTTGGTTATTTTATGTAATATTTTGGGTTGAAATCGTAATATACATCACATGTGGCCATTGCTTCATGGCACAGCCGACTTTGTTTACTATTGTTCGCTGTGGCAAATATAAAAAAGCTAAGAAGGAAATAATTTTGGTAGCAGTAATTTAAAATATTTTAAAACGCGGCAGTTTACCACTTTCTACTACTATTTTAATCTATATTTATGTTATTTAATACAGATCATGTGTAGCATTTGATGGGAAAAAGCGTATTATTGGTGTCGCTGCGAAAAATCAACAGGTTACAAACATGAAGAATACAGTTAGTGGTTTTAAACGTCTTTTGGGCCGTAAATTTAATGATCCACATGTGCAGCATGAGCTGAATAACATTCCAACAAAAGTCGAACAAATGTCGGATGGTGGTATAGGTTTCTGCGTTAATTATTTAGATCAACAACAGCTGTTCACACCAGAGCAATTGACAGCCATGTTATTCACAAAATTAAAAGAAACGTCCACTCATGCTTTGCAAGCACAGGTAAGATCGCGCAAGAACACAATTAAAAAAAAAAAAAATTAATTTTGTTTTCAGGTTAATGATTGTGTCATTGCCTGTCCTGTATATTTTACAAATGCCGAGCGTAAGGCTTTGCTGGATGCTGCCCAAATTGCTGGTCTCAATGTCTTACGTTTGATGAACGAGACTACTGCCACAGCCTTGTCATACGGTTTCTATAAGCAAGACTTGCCCGATGACAAACCGCGTAATGTAATCTTTGTAGATTGCGGCAATTCATCACTGCAGGTTAGTGCTTGCGCCTTTACAAAGGGCAAACTTAAGATGTTGGCTAGTAGCTGGGACCAAATTGGCGGCCGAGATTTTGATGCTGCTATGGCTGAATACTTTGCTAAGGAGTTCATGGACCGTTACAAGATCAACGCCAAAAGTAATCCTCGCTCATGGTTACGTTTACTAACTGAAATCGAGAAGTTGAAAAAACAAATGTCGGCCAATAGCACCAAATTGCCTCTAGCTATCGAATGTTTCATGGATGATATTGACGTTTCGTCGAGCATGCAACGTTTGCAAATGGAAGAATTGTGCGGTCCATTGTTAAAACGTGTTGAAGCAACATTCAAGAAGCTATTGGTTGAATCAAAATTGCCTTTGGAAGAAATTCACTCAGTGGAAATAGTCGGCGGCAGTACACGTATCCCTTCAATTAAGTTAATAATTGAGCAAGTTTTTGGTAAGCCGGCTCGTACCACTTTGAATCAGGATGAGGCTGTCTCGCGTGGTGCAGCTTTACAATGCGCCATTATGTCGCCCGCTGTGCGTGTACGAGAGTTTGGTGTTACTGACATCCAAAATTATTCTGTTAAAGTTACCTGGGACGGTGAAGATTCTATGGGTGGCGGTGGTATTGAAGTATTCCCCACCTTCCATGCTGCCCCTTTCAGTCGTTTATTGACTTTAAATCGTAAGGAACCCTTTACTATGACTGTACAGTATGCTCAGCCTGTGCCCTATCCGGACTTGATTATTGGCCGATGGACTATTAAAGATATTAAACCCAATGAACGTGGAGAACCCAGTGAAGTTAAAGTGAAGGTGAGAATTAATCATCATGGCATCGTATTGATTTCAAGTGCTTCTCTGGTGGATAAAAAAGAAGTGGACGAGTCATCCTCAAACAGCCAACTTAATGAACCCCAAGCAAATAGTGCAGAACAACTAAATAGCGGACAAGATCAATCGCAAAATCAAATCAATAACGCTGGCGAACCTATGGATGTTTCGCAAGAGGTAAGTGTGACAAAAACTCTTAAAGGATAGGTTTACAGAATTGTTTATCATTCGTCTTAATATAGGTACACCTTTGTTTGTATATTTATATATGTATATGTTTTAAAATGTAATCATAGCTTTAGCAATATTGAAGCTTTGTACTGTCGCCTTATGCCCTTTAATTATTGTTGTCATTATTATTATTTTGTATTTTTTGTATCCACCGTTTTACTCACACTCACTACCCGCCCTCGTTTCCCAGTCTTTTTTAAGCACATCAATTTCTATATATTATAATCACTATTTTTTATCCCTTATCAGTTGTCATTAGTGTCATTTATATGTGTATCGCCTTGTAAATTAAATTGGTCTCCTTTTACTTTTGTGCAGTCTATTAAGTAAATATCATATGCTCTCGTCATCAGAACATTTTCAATTATATTTTCTTTTTCTTGTTTTTGTTGTCTTCTTGGTTTTGATTTCTCTCTGTGTGAATCTTTCATGATGATTGATGGGCTTTGTTTATAATTCCACAAAAAACACCCAAAACATCACTCTCCTATTGTAGGCTTGTAAAGATTATGAGGAGGAATATAATACGACCGCCTCATCACCTCAAGGAGGACAAGGGTTCGCTCAACGGGTCAAGGGCTGGTTTAGTTCGGTACGTTTTCTCACCTATTTAACACCAAAAATTTTAGTTTTCTTTTATTTTGTAAATGATGTATCAAACATATTTTGTGTTCTTACTTTAACCCTATGTCCTTCCCAGATTATTAGAAGAGTAAAGGCAAGAAAAAAAAAAGAAGAAATGCCATTCAGATTATTTTGCTAACCATAAGGATTAAGCGCTAATTTGCACACAAGCCTACCGTTGAGCGCTTAAGTGTATTCATACCACTCCATTAAAGTCTGTCTGACTTTAATATATAGTAGTTGATGCACTTGAAAGTTTAAATCGTTTTTATTTTAATGCATATGAAACATTTTATATTAACTTTTATTATTTTTTATTTTGTTGTTTGCAAGTTTAAGGTTTCTTTTTTCCTTTAATAACATCAACTTTCCTGTTAAATTTACTAAGTTATTTATAATTTCTTGACTGCTTATTCGGTCATATGAGAATTCATTTAAATTATTGCGAGCAATTTTTCAGGGCACCTCTGAAAAGAAGAAGAAACTTTCAAAATTGATTGATTTGCCAATGGATTACCAAACTCACGGCTATTTACCCAACGAATTAAACAATTTAACACAATTGGAGGCTAAAATGGTGGCCAACGATGCCAAGGAAACTAAACGAGTTGACGCTAAAAATGCTTTGGAAGAGTTTGTCTATGATATGCGTAACAAATTACAGGCAAGTATTTTCAAACGGCACTGCCGCATTACCGCTCTCAAACATTGAAGCAAAATATTGATTATGTATCGTATTCTATCTTGTCTTTTAGGGAGATGGTCCTTTGGAACGCTACGTCGTCAGTAGCGCACGTGATAGTATTTGTAATCAACTTAACGATCTCGAAGATTGGTTGTACGAAGATGGAGAAGACTGTGACCACGATACTTATGTGGATAAACTCAAGAGCTTACAAAATCAAACCAATCCAATAAAGGAGCGAGCAAATGATTATGAATTTTGTCCAGCAGCCTTCGACGAATTAAAGCAGGCCCTCGCATTTGCTCGAACTGCGCATAGTGAGTTTAAGAAGGGAGTACCGAAGTACGATCATTTGACCGAAACTGAATTCATGAACATCTCTGAAACTACCGAGAAGGTTCAGAAGTGGTTGGATATCAATTTGGCGAAATTTTCTCAAGCTGCACGAACCACCGATAGTCCAGTGAAAATAAATGAAATACGTCACGAAATACAAACGCTAACGACCTGCGTAAATTCGGTGATTAATCGCCCTAAGCCTAAACCAGCTTCCAAGCCAACACCAGCTAAAGATATGACTGGAACTGATCAACAACAGCAGCAACATAATGGCGAAAATGTTGATAAGAAAACTGAATCAGCGCATACCAATAGCGTTCCCGAGGATTCAACGATGGATGTCGACTAGGTAAAGAAGCAACAGCGGCAGCAGAAGAGATGTTATGCACAGCCTAAGCATTTTATTGACTCTCCTTTTCACTTTTAAGTTGCATTCATCGCTAATATTTGATTAGTAAATTAAACGCTTAAAATAAAAAGCGTGGCACCGAAACAAAAAAAAAAAACAACGATAACAGCAGCAAATATTGACGTTCTCTATACAAATACATCTAAATAATAACGCGATAAAGCTCTTATCCAACAAAAGCTAGCTTTTTTCACACATCCATTTATATATAAAATTGCCAAATTAAACGAACATGTCCTCTAAAACCACAACAACTCCAATTTATTATATATATATATATATATGAATTGAAACTCATTCCCCTTCTTTAACTATAACAACTATCAAAACTTTAATTCTTCTGTTAACAAATAAATAAATATATATATACGTATAGATATATATATAGGTATCATTTTCAGTTACTGTGACATCACTATAAATAATTTATAATCATAATTAATGGAACATCTCCTGCAAACTACATAATTGGAAAAGTTTTTATTTGGTTATATAGCACTTCGAGAAACAAGTGCAATTGCTTCAATAATTTGATATAACATATGAAATTCATTAAAAAGCCGAAAATAATTTTAATAGACGTGAACTCGAGGCCCTACGATATATATGCGCAACAAATTTTTTTTTCTCTTCTATTTAGTTAATAAAGATCATTTTTAAGAATAATTTCAAGTAAACAGTACATTCTAAAATTCGCGTCCCTTTAACAAAAAAAAAAAAAAAAAAACATTTGCTTTCATTGATTTTTTATTCAAATTCTCGCAATTAACTTTGAACATAAAGGATGATTGCCGCTTTTTTGCATTGATTGCGAAGTAATTAAATGAAATATAATTATTTTAAATTGAATCAATAACGAAACGATTGCTGTTTTTAAACGTATTTGAACAGAATTTATAAAGAAGTATCCAAGAAGGCGGGGTTAACTTTTAATTCTCTCAAAGAGTAAACTATCAGCAAAATTATGATTAATACTTTAATCATAATTGTTTAATTTTTAAGAAACAATTTATGATATTATGAATTCCTGTATGTCAAATTTAGTGAATCTAAGAAAACGGTTCATGGGCCCAATATCGTTCTTAATTGTGTATTATTTCCTAGCATTGACATAGAGACCTATACCCATTTTTGTCGAAATGGCTTCAAAATGAATTGCAAATTTTATTGCTACTTATACATAAAGCACTTTTCTTTTGTGCTCGGAGGCGCACAAATGATATCCGAGACTAAGAAAAGGGCACGGATCTACGAAATATTGCGTATACAGAACGCTGCGCACACCGCAGTGCTTATTAAACTTGTGCTGGTGACATGCATTCTACGGAATTTCTTGAATATACATGGCCCGGTTTAAAAGTACTCCGGTGACTGACAATAACTTTCGTCATCTTCTAATTGAAAGTATAACGATTCCGATTGAAGCAGGTTTCATTTTCCAAATGCGGCAGCATCTACCTTGTAG